CTATAAGCATTTTTATCCCTGTTGCGAACGGAAGAAACCATCCCTTGGTAACGAGATTTTTTTCGAATGTAATTAGAGAATGTAGAGGAAGATAGAGCGATGCAGAGGAAGAATCTTTTTGAGATGCTCGCGATATCTGTCGAAGTGGATAGATGATATTATAGCGAGGATTTCGTTTATCTTTTTATATAAGTATATATATATATATATATATATATATATATATGTTTTAATAATTCGTAATTTTAGAATAATGTACAGAATGTGATTAGCTAAAAAAAAATGAAAATTTAAAAATTATAATTCTCTTGAAGCTCGTGAGCGACAAATTGAGAACCACTGTAAGTATAATTTATCGATGGGAACAACTTGACTGGCATTTCCTTGTCAATAATTGCAATAAATATCGATTATATTTTATTATATAATTTTCCTATCCATTCGATTTTAATTGTATAATTGATATATTGTATAATTTATATATTTAATTCTTTATTTAAAAAAAAATTAAAATTCTTTAAAAAAAAAATCATGAAAATAGAAATGTGTTTTGAATTTTTTATAAAGGAATTTCGTTAGATAAAAAAAAAGATGTTGGAAGAACACGAAAAAAAAAAAAAAATATACAAGTGATCAGCTTGTAAAAAGTTTGTGCTACTTTCAACTTGCCGCGACGCTAAAAGTACATTAAAAGTTCGGTAATCGATAATGACTCCAGCTTTTTGTCGACGTCTTTTTCTGCACGTCACGTATATCCTCTTTTTTTTCGTATATACTCTTTGACCGCGAAAAGGGAGGGGGAGGTATGTATTTTTCAGAAGCGAGATACGATGCCAAGGAACACGATAGAGATGCCATGATTTCAACCGGCAACAAATCAACTCGCATTAAACACAATTACCCAACGACAGATGACGTAGGGTACCGAGTTAGTTGCTACTCGTTATCCGGCAAATTGATCAAACTGCCTTTACTTAAGTGTATCTATCCATCACCAGCCCTACGAGGTCGAACGTATCAGTTCTGATAAGTTACGCACCTGTTATTACTATAATAATAAATTAAAATTACGAGTATATTTAAACATTATTCATTTTTTATTTTCGAATTTTAAAATTTATTACATTTAGAAATTAAATTGTGATAATTATATATTAATAAATGATAATTAAAATTATATTATTGCAAGATTTTGTATAATTATAATTAAATATATTAGTTACTCCTTGTTAGAAAATTTGAAAACACAAAATCATGAATTCCCAACAAATTCTAACATAAATATATAAATATCTCTTTCAATTAAAATGTTAATAATGTTAAAATTCCATGTATTTCAATTAAAATCTTTCATATTAAAATCGATATCATATTCATATCGTAAAATACGAATATCGATAAAATCGTGTGAACTTCGATATGAGATATCTATAGAAAATATATTAGTTAATAAATAAACAGTTCTCATGAAAATATTGTCGTACCGATACCGAGGTAACTCTTTGAAGGGTGCGAACGCGGGCTAGAAAACTCGTGACATGGGCAGCTGTTCGAATTACATTGAGCTCGCCCCTGGCGCGTGGACGGTTTATTGACACACTCTCCAGGCGACCGCGTATTATTACCAGCGTCGTGCATTTACCACGAAATATATGGCTCGTTTTTCAAGAAAGAAAGCGACCGGTGGAGCATCGAGACGAATCTCGGCTCTATAGACTAGTAGAGAGAGAAAATCAACAATGCTTTTACCTTTCGTAGCATTCTCTCCATTCTTCGCGCGGTCCTTCTTTTACATCGGACAGCATCGATTCTTTAAAATATAGATATTCGAAAACGCACATACGATGTTCTTTTAAACGACAGTTCAAGATATTTTTCAAGAGATTCTAATATCGAAGATGAATTCGTTAATTTTGTATGAAATTTTAAATCTTTAAAATTCGAATGATACAAGAGATAATCGATAGTCTCGATGAATCGAACGAAAGATGAGATTGTGAATGTTGATTTACCAAGCGATTATCGTTCATTTTGTAATTGGCATTCGTTGAACGCGATGTTTGTCGAAAAGTACATTATACATCTTTGAAAAAGCTAATTGTAATTGTTAAATATAAAATTAATATCTCTAGCAGTGGCACAATGTGAAACAAAGACGAAAGAAAGAAAGGGATGCGATATATAGAAACATGCTTACATTAGGTCACACGCATATGCTTTTGACGTTTCGCGTCCGGGTAGCGTCCGTGAAGGATTTCTTCACTAATATTTAGATTATCGATGGTAATTACTACAATGGCGTTCGATGATGTTAAATGTTATGAAAATTTTTTATAATACGTTCGTTTTTTGTGAACGAATAAAAACTTGACTGACAGAGGAAAAAAGAAGGATCACGGAGACCGGGTTCCGTCGTTGTTACAGAACATCATATTCGTTCTCTTTCATCGTAGGTCATAGTATAAGTATCACTTACCTGCATGCTTCTCCGACTTCGGCATGGAGGCCATAGCTAGCCGATAGTATGTCCTCTCGAACCACGACACTATCTCACTATTTCTACGAAAGACCGCATCGTAAACTACACACCAGTGGCTGCCGCGGCGTTTTCAGTCTGATGTAAACCCGACGTGCACCGCTACATCTTCGTTTGTCAGCCATCTTTCGGGGCGCGAGCGCGCGAACCGCCATCACGCGGCCAGAATTTGAACATAGTCAGCATCAGTCCAACATGGCCGACGGACTGTCATTCGGGTGACATATCATTCAATTTTCGATTCAAAAAGGATGCTCCTGAACGATTTTCACGAACGAAACATGTTTCACGGCTATTTTTATATAAAAGTGTAAACGACATTGATTAATTTGCAACGATTGACACCATAAGTATTGCCGTGTGAAAATTAATCGAAAGAGTGGCGACGCAACAACTGGTTTTGCTACGTTGATACAGTGGCACGCAAAAATCATTGTCCACCGATGATTGAATATAATCTGTAACAAAGTATAGTTCAATGTGTTTACATTATTATGAAAAAGTGTGAGTACTGAGCATCGATTGAAAATGTATAAAAATTATGTGAATTTTCTATAAATTAAATGATCGTTCATTAAAAAATAAAGTATTTGACAAAAATTATATTTCTGCTTCTCAAGGATTAATAAACATATTGACATAATTCACTTAAAAAGTGTAATATAAAATATATTTAGAAATAAGCATATGGGTTTATCTCGTTTTATGTCAACGAAAAATGGGAAATTCTGGTTTAAAACAGCATTACGAGACTGCAAAGAAAACCGGAACATTAAAATTATCACGAAGAAAACTCCACGAATTTCCACAAAATTTATTAGCTTTGGCACCGTTGCTACGTACATTGGATTTATCGGAAAACGAATTTGTTCATATTCCCGATAATATTGGTAATTTTACATTATTAAAACTATTGAATATTAATCATAACAAATTGACAACTTTACCCGAAGCACTTGGAGCATTGACAAAATTAGAATGTTTAAATGCAAGCGCGAATCAAATAAAAACTATCCCATGGTCATTGTCAAAACTAACACGATTGAAACAAGTTAACTTATCTGATAATCGTATAACCGAATTTCCTCCTATGTTTTGTGATTTAAAATTTCTGGATGTATTAGATCTATCGAAGAATCGAATTACGACAATCCCTGATGCGGCTGGAGCGTTACATATAGTTGAACTTAACCTCAATCAAAATCAGATATCAACTATATCTGAGAAATTGGCGGAATGTTCGCGCTTAAAAACATTAAGACTTGAAGAAAATTGTTTACAACTGAATGCAATACCTAGTAAAATTTTGAAAAATTCTAAAATTTCAGTCCTGTCTGTCGAAGGAAATTTATTTGAAATGAAACAATTTGCTAATCTTGATGGTTATGATAACTACATGGAAAGATATACTGCTGTAAAGAAAAAACTCTTTTAAGAGATATTTTAATGAACATTTTTTATTTATTACTGAATCTATTATAGGTAATTATCATACATATATAATTATTTTATAACATTGAAAATGATGCCGCATCGTGTTCGCGTAATTATACTCGATACCTGCGATAATATAATATAGAATATAATAAAATTTTCAAATTAATTGATAATAATGTTTTTAATAATGTGAATGCTTATACGAAAAAACATTTTTTTATAAGGCGTTCGTTAAATGAGCACGATAAACTATATAGAGATATATATAAAACCATTGATCTAATGCAGTACTCATACTAGATTATAATTTTTATTACACGGATTATAAAATGACATTCTAGTATTTCGTATCACACTGCAATTATTATAAAAATGTTCTTATACGCAATAATTACAATTCTTATGCATCGTTAAGATGCATAAATAAAATGTATTAAATAATAAAATATGTTTTATAAAAATCTTTTGTATTTTTTTTTTTTATATAACGCTTAATTATATGCAAATTAAAATAAGTACATAACATTCTTTTAAATCTCTTTATATATTGTAAAATATAAATATAATTAAAATTGTATGAAATATTTTCAAAATTATCGTAACCATTTATTATAAATATGCAAAATTATATCGTACAATTAAATAGTATAAATTAAATTTTGTAAAAATAAATTTCGTACTTATTTTTAATATATAATATTTTTATTCATTTCTTAATAATTTTTATCATAATTGTAATATATACAATTGGACGTATGCAAGCAAAATTATCTTACCATTGTAAGTGAAAAACAAATGATCTTTTGCATCCCAAAATGGCGTGTCTGGTCTTTACTTTCTCAACAGGAAGAGCTGCTGAAATTAAATAAAAAAAAATCGACAGGTGAGTTACGAGCAGTAAAAAAAGTTACATGTTTCAACTTCCAAGTTAGCAACCCTTCACTTGCGAATACGTGAGTAGCTTAACTATTACTTTGTTAGGCATAAGAGATTTGTATTCCACTCTTTTGCCGACTGAACAATTACAGCTAATTTTAGAGTGTATTCAATATTCGATGATCAGTTAATATGTGAATAACCAATGATCAGAAGCCTATATTGTTTTTATGTACTTATATTTTGTATAATTGTTTAAAATTATATTATTAAAGTCACATTATTTATACGTAAACAATATATGAAATCGTTTTATGAATTTATATTTTGTTTGCAAATTAATCACGGAAAGTAATTACAATTATAAAATTTAAAATAATTGATTATAGCATATAAAAATAATATTTTTTTCAATAAATCATTATATTTATTAGCAACAATATTTTCTTTTATACACTTTAAGATCTGTTTTGGATTATTTAAAGTGTAACAAAACTTATCCAGATCTAGGGTACAGACGACAAGAATCTTATGTATGGAAGATATACTACTCTAATTGTTGAAACATTTAAAGATATTAAGTGTATAACCAATTCTAAAATTCTTGACATTTTAAATTATAACCACAATCATTTATAATTATAATAGTATAACAAAATCTTTATCAACACTGTCATCAATTGTTTATATTATACTTGCACCACAATAGAACGTCCAACTAACGACCATGATCGTACATCAAAATTTAAATGCCCTGCACCATGTTGATCATAAATTTTTACGTATGCACCACACACAATATACGGCTTATAATATAGAAGTAATTTAAAAAAAAGTACATATACCATTCTTTTTATTTATAATTCATTTAATTTATTTTTTTTATTTAAAAATAATATTTCTTAAAAATATTTTGTATAGTTATTTAAATATCTCTATTAACAGAACATATATGAGGTTATAATACCTATGAAATGTAATTTTAGAAGTAAGATTCGTAATATTGATAAACTGTTTCCAAATAATCTTATAATGTTTCAGCTGCAATATTATACTTTCTAAACAAAACTAGTAAGTGTAACGCGAGAAATGGGCGTCCCTGTTTCGTTAGACATCCCTACGGGGAGCACTGCCACCACAGTAGCTTAGTTGACCATCGTAGTTTCTAGCAAGTGTTTCCCCGAACATGGCGGACGGTGCTTATTCGAATTTTCAAGGGACACAATGAAAGTGCACCGAGTTCGCGGCGGTGATGTCCGTGACTAAGGGCGTGTGGTAATCCTGAGGGTGGCTGACGTGGGTATCCGGACGCCGCTGTGATCGTTACGGTTGCATGCGTGCCGGCGTGTCGCCATCCTGACTTCACGAGATAGGGTTTTGCCGCGCCGCGATTGTGTGTCTCAGAGCTACCGACCGTGGCGGGGCCCCCATG